TCTGACACTTCCTAACCTTGTTGGTTCAGAAAACGGAATCTATTTCGACATTGTTAATGTTTCTGAGGAAGATATTAATCAATCGATTAAGGGATATTCTGGATGCTGGGATGATTTGGAGAGCTATAGAAATTTTGTTCAGTTCATTAAAAACATGGAAGCAAAAAACAACTGCGCGAAAATAAATATTTGCTTTATTCAAATTTCTTTGCAAATAAATCTTGCAAGACCAAAGCCCAAATGTATATGTGTATAAATGAGTATATATCATCATAAAAAAGATGATGCCCGCTAATTACCGGTAATAACCGGTAGTTGTGATGAAAAAATGTAAAAAAAGTATTTGGAATTGAGCTTTTTGAATAGTAATAATATCAATAAAATGAACTTTGTGGGGGACAATAAGTTATTTATATAATTGAGTATGTTACTAACATTTTGTAATGGTGTTTACAATTTGATGATTTTATTTTTAATCTAAAATATTATTTTTCTTATTTAGAAAAGCAGTTTTGATAATAAATTCAAAAAATTTATTTTTGGTAACTTAACTTCGATTATTAACAGTGTTTAATGTAAACAAAAAAAGTAAAAAATAATATAAGAAAGATCAATCATCTAAAATGGGATGAAATGCAGTTTTAGCAGTGAGTAAAAAGGAACTTAAAGGTAGAAAGGCTGCTGACGCATAGGCATATTGCTATACGTTGGCATTTTGCTAATAAGTCAGTCCATCAAAAATGATGCTAAATAGTTTTAGGATATTTTTTGTGTGATTTATGTGAAATAACATTTTTTGTTTAATTTCTAATTTAGTAGAAGTTTAATAATATATAGAAATATAATAATAAATAGTTTAGAGTAGAGACACAAAATTATTTTAGCTGCTATTTTTTGATTCTAGTTACATATGTACAGTAAACAACTTGTTTTTTTTAAAGTTTTGTTAAGTCCTAGTAAAAAAGTCCAATAAGATTCTATATTTTTTCTTTTTGAAAAACTTCTTACAAACTTCGTAAAACTTTTCCACTTTTGGGAAGTATTTTACTACTTAAAAAAATTCAGTTTTGATATCAAATTGACCACAAAACTTTTTACATTTGAAAAATTTGGAAGTAAATGGAAACTTAATTAAAAATGATAAAAACTTATTCCTATTTTAGGCAAAGGAATGTTTAAGATCATAAATTTAAAAATAATTAATAAACAATGTTTTATTAAGAACTTTATTTCATAAAAAATAATGACGAATAATATATATCAATGAGATAAAGTAGCAACCTACGACTTAAGAAAGCATCCGGCATATTATAAGTAGGTGGTAGGTATAAGTAGGTGGTAGACAACTATAAAAAATCAAAAAAATCATTTTTCAATTTTTTTAAGAAATATAGCTATCGTAAATTACAAATTTTAAGTTAGTTTTATGAAATAAAAACACCATTACAAATCATTTTTTAATAAAGCAGTATAAGTAAATATTTTTATTTTTCCAGAGCATCACTTTGATTTTTTCTTCGCTTTACAACTGAAAAGGAAATTATATCATAACTATAATATTTATTTTTAATATATAATACCAGATGTAGCGTTTGCAACTCTAAATTTACTTTTTGTTAATTGATTAATACTTTTAGTGCATTTGGCTACATGGGTTTTATTGAAATTTCCAACTATGGTTGCTGTTTTCTGCATCACTATACATTTATTTTTGATTAAATTTGATTGTAGTAAAGGAAACTCCATTTTTAACTTTTTAACTAATCCAGTTCCAGCAATAAATTATCTTAATTAATTTAACCCGGTTATAGCAGTAAATAATCTTTAAAAATTTTAAATAATGCTATTGTAAATAACAATAATAGTTCTGCTAATCACAATCAGTTCAATGTTACAAATGACTGCTACATATTTATGAACACTGACATATGAGATGAAATAATAGCTGCCATTGTTTGCTATCAAAAATTTTCCACAATGTTACTTTTAAATTATAACTTTTTATGATACTCAAAACAATATGATTTATTACAGTCTCCTAATTTCATTCAGAGGTTTTATTCTACTAAAACTATAAAAAAACTAGCAGCAATTTTTGAATTTTATGCTTCTTTTGTTTAAATGGGTTTTTCTCAGTTTTCTAAAATTCACGACTTTGCGGTGAATATCTCAAGATTTTCTTAATCGATTTCCATGAATATTTTTGGATTTGTTTCTTTGTTTTTTGTCCTCTACCACTTTTATGACAATGCAATAATCCGATATAAAGCTTTTTAAGTCCAAATATGGTCAAAAACACCTTATTTTTTGATCTTCAAGTGTTTTTCTTAAAAAAAAAATCTGTTTAGTATATTTTTTTGATTTTAGTACAGGATCTTTATTGCAATAGAAGTTTAGAAAATTTCAAGTTAACTGCTTCAATAGTTTTAGAGATAATCACCGCAACAAAATTATGATATTTTAGGGTTTCTAGGACCGAATTTCTATAACCAAAAAATTTTTCAACTTTTTTTTTTTTAATAGTCATTAAAGAGTAAATTTAAATCAATTTAGATGTAAATAATATCTAAAATGTAATTTTTGAGAGGTTTGAATTAATTATGGTCTACCACCTAGTTCTTCCAATACCGATACCATTTTTCAATACCGGTATATCGGTACTAAATAATTACAATACCGGTAATACCGGTATAATACCGGTATTAAACTTTATTTTTAAATTCATCATAATCTAATTAAAATCTCAAGTTAATAGTAAAAATTTTATTGATTCAATCAGCTTATTTGTTTTATATCAAAACTACTGACTTTTTCATTTTACGCTTTTTTCTGCTTAGTAAAATGAGCCCGTAAAAAACATAGGGCGTTCAGAACATCATCTTCAAAAGATACTCTAATTTTGTTGGCGTCACAGTTTTCAAGTAATGGTAGGAATTTTGCAAATATATTCAACGATTTCCTCCTTCTTCAAAAATTTCTATTTCAATACATATAATTTTTGATGAATTATTCGAAACATTCAATTTTCCCTTGTTGTTACATTTCTTATTTTTCAAAATTGCAAAGTCAAGCTTTTTTTTCAATGACAAGTTTACAGCGTTGTCCACAGAATCACTATCGGAAAAAACGCTGGTGAAAGGGAGAGGACTATACCCTTTCTGATTGAGCCGATCTTTCAGTCGAGTAATGGTATTTACAATGGCTAATTTGCTATGGTGCTCAAAAGATAGAGCTAGATCCAAATTCTTGTAACGTTGATGTCCCTTGTGCAAAAAATGTTGTATGCTGGAAAAAGAGTACGTTGCTCATTGAATTGTTGCACCAACATAACTTTACAGCTAAATCGGTTTCTCCAAGGTTATCTATCATGAAAATGTTGTATCGGCACACAACAGAATTGCATGATTTTGGCACAATGTTTCCACAGCCAGTTTTACTGGCGCAAGACATAAGTTAACAGCTAATATTGCATCGAAATAATTATTAGTTACCTCAACTTTGGACTCAAGGGCAAAAAGTGACTCGTGAATGCATTTTTTCAATTATACAAAACGTTCGAGTACTGTGTGCAAGCTAATCCAGCTAGTTTTGGATCCAAGTATTAGTGGAATATCTTTATCAAATTTTTCTAACGTGCGTTTTTGAATTTTGATCATTTTTTGTCGGAGAACGGAAAAATAAAAATTTCACAACGGTGCGCACCTTTTTGATTAACGGCTGCAGATCATCAGTCAGTTTAATAGAGTCATTCTCTTCACTCATTACAACTTGAAACCCGCCGGAAAAGTCTTCATCATTATTGGCTTTGTTTGTGTCATCAGTATTTCCTCGTCACTTTCTCTGTTACTGCATTAAGTATTTCATTTACTTTAGTGTTTCACGTAAAGAGGGCGATAGCACCTGCTATATCATAAGCCCTCTACATATATATTTAATACTTTTTAATGGGTAGTCTTGCGACATCGGTTTATTTTTTTCATCGGACATATTTTTAATGGGCAAGTCTTGCGACATCGGTTGGGAAGGAGTACTACCGGTATTGGAAGCACTACTACCACCTAACATTATTAAACATCACAACAGGTAATATAAATTTCTAATATTTTAATTTAAAAATAATTTACAAAAGCGAGTTAAAAAATCCGATATAAAATTTAACGATAAAAATAAAATACAACTCGTCGAAAAATCTACAAGAATACCGTTAAGAGTGTGAAAATTTTTATATTGATTTATTGAACTAATTAAAAAAATTTTTATATGAATTTTAAAAAGAAAACTCCATTATAAAGTTTCTTGTTAAACTTGGTTTTCAATAGGGTATAAAGGTGTTTTTTATTTTTTCATATAAAAATATTTTCATACCCTGTTGAAAATAATCATACAAAATCGATACATATATATATATATATATATATATATATATATATATATATATATATATATATATATATATATATATATATATATATATATATATATATATATATATATATATCAATTTTATATTTTGATTCTCAATAGAGTATAAGTACATTTTTTTGTTTTTAATATTTTCGTAGTTTTGTTTCAATTAGTTTCATATCAGGCGTAAATGAAGAGCTTAGTGCTAATAGTACTTAAGTCACAAGATAAATGTTTTGAGAAAATCTACTTTGATCAGCCATTTAAACCTTATTTCAAAGTCTTATACTTCTTATCAAAGGAGATTTTCTCAAAAAATTTATTATTTGACTTAAGTACTTTTAGCACTAAGCTATTCAAACTAAAAGCTTACAATTGTTTTATTTTATGCCGGATAACAGTCCAAACTTGTTTAACCAAAATATGACAAGTGTCAAAAACAAAATTATAAAAAAAAACCGTCATACCCTATTAAAAATCTATATGTATATATATACATACATTAACAGATATATGCACATTTATATATATATATATACACACATATGTATATATTATATTTATAAAAACAGAAATACATAAAAAAACAAAATAAAAAAACAAATAAATAATGTGATAAATAATTTAAATTTTAATCCATATAAAACGAACAAATTTTTAATATATTTTTTAACTTAATGTGAGGCGACACAGCTTCGTTTAAACATATAATAAATAAATATATATATATATATATATATAGATAGATCAAACATTTGTTTCGTTTTTAAGAAATGTTACATTTTCCACAGTGATCCATTTTGACTCTCTACGACCTTCACTATCTGTAGTAACATTTGAACGACGAAAATCTATAACAACGAAAATTGAAGTCATTGATAAAGATTATAGTTTATTATGCTAGATATAGTTAAATTTATTTAAATATAAATTCACACGTGGCCTATCACAAGCTACACCCTATCACATGTTATGCCTATATATACCCTTTGGAGCTATCCATTCACAATTTGAGTGTGTTTCAAGATAATTCTGAACTTCAACTTTCAGAATCTATTATATTACTAAGTACTATGATAATCATATGATCTTGAGTCATTTAGATTATAATTGAACATTCTTATACAATTTTGAAAACTAGAAAATTTTCAAACACTTTGAAATTACTAATTACTATATCAATTATTGAATGTTCAAAAATCTATTTCACACTGAGTTTTATTACTAGATTTCCAGATTCAATAACTATGGTATGAAAACTATAAAACTATGGTAGAAAAAACTTTTATTGATAGCTGTTATTTGCAAATATTTTTATAGTTTAAAACTAAACATATTTTCAAAGTGGAAATACCTGGTAGTAAGACCCTAAAGGCAGTTAAACAGAGTTTAGCTGCCTTTAGGGTCTTACCAGGGCTAGCATATAATGCATTGTTTACTATGATTATTTAAAAACAATTTTATAGTTTATAACTGAACACATTTTTAAAGTAGAAATAGAGAGCTACCCATAGTATATGTCCCCGACTCAGCCTAAGCATAAATTATAGTATTAGTAAGTGTGGTTAGCTGAGCTCTAGGATATAATGTATACATTTTATATTTATTTATACATTGAAATATAATATGCATACATACATGCACATATATATATATATATACAAAGAGGGTTGTGCAAATCTAGTCTCTTTAGAAATCTTATATGTGCCTAATGATTTCTTGCGCTCTCAAAGATGCTGAATCTGATCAATACACTTAAAAAAACACTTATTTGATATTTTAATTCAGTTATATCAAATTTATTCAAAATGGTAAAATGACATTCATAATAAATGTAAGCAAGATGAGCAAAGTTCAAAGCAAATAACACATAATATGTTATGTGCTTTGTAAATTAGTTTAAATTAATTTTTTATATTTTTGCAAAATTCAAAATTACATATCTGTACCTCAGAAAACAAAGGTCAGTTGTCCAGTTTTTTTGTGAAAATAAGTTATGTATGAGACCTTTTTAGTTTTTTCAGTATCTACAGAGGTTTAAAAACTGTTGTGCTACAACAATTTGAAACAAAGTTAGGTCAATATAAAGACCAGCTAACCCCCCCTGCCTTGCCTGATTGTGCACCCTTTAGTTTGCCAACAATACAATATAATTAAGGCTATCCAGCTTATCTAATCATGGACTAATAAATTAGCAAATTGATGATATGGTTATACATACTTATTTTTAACTTTAACTTTTAATAAATAAAATGTTTCATAATGAGATTATTTTCAGCTTTGATATATTTCTACACAACCGGTAGCTTTTTTTTTTACTCAATGTATATTTCTTGAAAAGCTCGTTCCAGTTCCAACAAGTGTAAAATAAATTTTAAACATTTAATTCTAATATTTGATTTAAAGAAATTTACAGTGTTTCCTAATACAATATTGAATACTCTTCATATATTTTGCTGTAATATTAACTTAGGCAATTATCTTTTTAAACGGAAGAAAAAAAAACAAACACAACATCATATCACTCTGCACTTTATAAAATTACAACTTAACGTTTAGTTTTTTCTAACTTATATTTATTAAGAATGGAAAGTAGTAAAAAAATTTATTTAACTATCTGTTTTTTGTTATATTAAAAAAAAAATTATTTCACAATTTTAGAAATAATAAATTTATTAATAAATTGTAAAAATATTTTTTACAACAATTACTACTTCATTTTTTCTGTAAAAATATTTTTTACAACAATTACTACTTCATTTATTTAACTATCTGTTTTTTTTTAATATAAAAAAAAATAGATAGTTAAATAAATTTTTTTACTACTTTCCATTCTTAATAAACTTAAGTTAGAAAAAAGTAAACGTTAAGTTGTAATTTTAAACTATTTCAAAACACTATTTAAATATTCCAATCGACAAAAGTCTTGGCATAATGCCAATGGTTTAACGCCTAGATAAAAATCGCCATTTTTTTACCAGCGTAAAGCTTCTTAAATAAGCCTGCATATGCATGCATATATGGAGAGAAGAGAGATGTATTCTCTATATATTAAAGAGAACAATGATAAAAGTGTAATTTTTAAAAAATTATATGATTAAAATGAAACTTTGTTAATTGCAATACTTACTATATACATAATAATACTCATTATATATATATATATATATATATATATATATATATATATATATATATATATATATATATATATATATATATATATATATATATATATATATATATATATATATTTTATACATATGAAGAATCAAGGTTCAAATAAAAAGGCAATTTGCATTGTAGAACAAGTATCGTATGAAAATATAAAATAATATTTCACTTACATCGACTAATAAACTGTTTGTGTGTAATAAACCATTTTTTGAATAAAATAAAAAATATGTAGGTTCCAATAATTACAAACAAAACAATAGATTCTACACAAATAGCCGCAATGAGAGCAGATGTTTTTTTTTCTAAAAAAAAAAGTTAAACAATTTGTATACAATATTAAGTAGCAATACTGAAGTTAAATTGACTGATGTAGTGAAAAGCACAGTTTTCCTGACATGTCAGAGGCTTTCTAGGAAAATAATTTGGGTGGTAGTACCCCTTTTTTTTAATTCAAAATTATTTAAAATATTTTGTATATATATATATATATGCATTATTAAACATTATTATCAACATGATGATCATAATTATCATCATTGTTGTTGCCATCATCATCATCATCATCATCATCATCATCATCATCATCATCATCATCATCATCATCATCATCATCATCATCATCATCATCATCATCATCATCATCATCATCATCATCATCATCATCATCATCATCATCATCATCATCATCATAATTACTATTATCAATATCTTCATCATCATCAGGCTTTAGCCTTGCTTTTTTATGATGTTTCTCTAATTATGGTCAATCCTCAAACGAGCTATCACCTCTATTATGATAAACCAAAACTCATTTTGGGTCACATAGAGATGGCTCCTTTACTTACTTATTTTTACTTACACAAGTAAGTTAATTTTTATCAAAAAGTAATTTACATAAGTAGTTTTAAATGTTTGATCTAAATTTACATTTCCGTATAAGTAAATTTTTTGAAACAACTTTTTCTTTATAATGTAAGTTTTTTACTTTCAAAAGTAAGTTATGTACTTTTAAAAGAAGATAACATCAAAAAGTAATTTACTTTTACATGTAAAAGAAAGTCACATAAAAAAGCTTTTTACTTTTACATTAAAAAGTTAATTACTTTTGAAAATTACATTACATAATATAAAAGCTCCTCAAACTGTCAAACATTTACTAGGGTGTAAACTAGACCTGCGGCGCCCCGTCAAACGTGGTTTTCCCAAATGCTCATAAAATTAAAATTCCCAATTTAAAGATGAAAAAATCCCATTCTCAAAAAAAAGATTATAAATTAAAGTTTAATAATAATTCTAAAAATAATTTAAAATTAATTATTATTCAAAACTAATAGAAAAATAACGTAAATCAAATCTCATTACTGGTATTGCATAACTGCGAAAATTGGTTTCTTGGAAAAAAACATAAGAATTTGGATTTTTGGAATGATTTTTGGGATTTTTGTGGCAACTTGCAATAAAGTTTGAAAATAGTTTTTTGCAATTCATTTCAACAACAGCAAATATTATATAAAAAAGTTAGCAAGAAATAAAGCACTAAGGTAAAAGATCCAAAATAATAACAAACTTGTTTGGTTTAACACCCGTAAATTCTATTTCTTTAAAAGTTTCCCCCTTTTTGGCTAAAAAGTTGAATAACTTATTAAGTCTTACCATAAACTCAACTTTAAGTAGTAGATGTATTTCATCAACAAAAACATCGAGAAGGTTATGTCATACCTTTTGATCAATTACGGGTATTACAGAAAGTCTTTTAGTTATTGTTTTTCTTTTTTTGCTTGGTATTTTATATCAACTGAATTTACTAAAGTTTTTTACTTTTTTGTTGTATTCTTGGATGCCACGCGTGCAATCGCTTGCTAATAATATTACTCTATAATTAAACAACATTTATTGTTGTACTTGCTGAGACTTTGTGATTATAACTTTATTTTGCTATGTGATTTATGTACAAAATAAATTATTAATTATAAAATTGAACTCCCAATAAATGTAAAATATGAAATTTATGAGCTCGTGTTTACTATTTTTAAAACCTTATCTATTTTCATAAAATTTCTTTTGATGACACAGTTTATTACATGATGATATAAAGTTTTGTTCGTAAGGTACATCGAGCAGAATTTAAATAACAATTAGAAGTAGAAGATCATTGGCTCATTAGAGATCGCTATTTTACTATATTATATTGAAAAAGAAATATATATTCAAAATATTACTCATGAAATAAAAGCGGCGACAATATATAAAGATTAAAACTAAATCTAATTAATTACACTCAATAATAATTAATATACACTGATTAGTTTATAATTTAAAAAAATATTATTCCTAATATATGTTCGGAAATCAGATCTTAGTTTGCCGTGTTGTGAAACAACAGCTAATTTTGTGTTGATTTCATATTCATCTTTAATGATACAGATGGTATTTTATTTTATTTTTGGCAATGATCAATCAATGTATGCAGCGCTAAAGTAGAGTAAAAAAAAAAAAAAAAGAACACCAAAAAAGGACCCCATGCTTTCCCAGAACATATTTTAATCTCAGGGGAGGAGGGGGTGATTGAGAAATACTTCGACAAATTCCAGATTTCGTTAAAACGCTGTATCAAATTTATTCTTGGTAAACACCCTGTTACCTATAAAAGTAGATAATTAAAAAATAATAATAATAATAATAATAATAATAAAAAACTTGCATATGAAAGTAAATTACATAAAAGTAATATGCTACCAAATGTAAATTAAATTTAAAAATAAAATATTTTTCAAGTAGGAATTTTTTTATTTTAAAAGTAATAAATCTTTATTAAAAATAAATTACGTAAAATAAAATTTAAATTTGTTAAGTAAATTAAAAGTAATTTATATAAAGTAAATAAATTTACTTATATTCTACAATAACTTTGCCAGGATTTTGTACAAAAGTAATGCAAAAAAGTAAAACTTTAAGTCACTAACATTTAGTTTGCCACAACATTTGATTTGTGTGGTTTTAGGTATTTCTTCCCTGTAAAGTTTTAAAATATCAATAATGGGTTTTTGCCCATGATTAAAACCCTTTCTAGTTCTGGTCCATGATAATTTTAGCTATAAAAACCATTCTCTGGATCAAACCGTCTCTGAGATATTCACTCTCTGACCAACCATTTGAAAGGTCTGGAATTTAGACAAAGCTGAAACAAGGCAATTAGCAGAAGGCGCATATACCTATGGGAGACTAAAAAAAGGTAGTTTGTTTGAAAGGAAAATTAATGGCATAATTGTTAGTTCTTTTATAAAAGTTTTTTGCATAAATGTATATATTATTTAAAAACTAAGGAGAGAAAGTTTAAACCTGTCCAAATTATGGGGATTATAACACCATGCCCTGAAGATTAAGGAGCACCATACTTTTTAAGAGGACCCTTTATTTTCGCAAATTTTTTTTGCCACTTTTATACAAAGTCCACCTGCTTAAGAATATCCTTTGACCTTAAAAGTTTTGGTTTAAACAACTACAATACTTTTATATGGGGTATTTTATGAGCATGAAAAAAAAGAGAACTTTTTACGTAAATATCTTTATCTGCATGTAGTATCAGCGGCCTAACTACAACAAGGCCAGTATAAGCTTAACTTATGATCCCACAAGCAATTGAACCTAGAGCTGCAAGGTTTAGGGGCCCTAAGATATATTCAAAGAATTATTATTATTTTTTTAAGAAAAATTATTGTTTCAGAGAAAAAGAAAATGAGCTCGTAAGCCATGTATGTCTACTGACCAAAAATACTTTGAGTAATATACAGATAACCTGAGCTGAAGCGTAGAAACAATTTGTAAGTAGATTAAGTAATAAAAGTTGTGTTGATTGGGGCCTGGATATAAAAATACCTAAAACATTTACAATCCCTACTCTAAATGTGAGGGCAACAAATTAGTAATTTTTATTATTTATTTATTTTCCTTCACTAAATTTAAGTTGACAGGTTTTGAAAATTACACTAGTTTTTTAGTATTCAAAAGTTATGATTTTGTAAAGTTTACACCCCCGCCACATTTGGCGAGGGTGTAAACTTTTCTAAACATTCTATTGTGATAAACAATAAAATACTTAAGTTTGGCACTTAAGTATGTTTTTGTTTATACCACAATTTAGCATAATATTAAAGATAATTTAATTTAAAAATATTTAAATTTTAAATATTATAAAAATATTATGACACTATCAAAAATATACTAAAACAGATGCACTTTTGAATATATAAGTTGTGCTAAGTTTGCTAGATTTAATGTACCCTGGTTCAATACCATTGTTATAGTATGTCTGAATTGTTTTGTAATAGTTTATTTTATACATGATATTTAAATAGCTGTTAGTAATTATGTCAACCAAAATTATTGTGTTTTCATAATTATATTAAAGGTTTTCAGAAAACCTCATTTGTACATAACTATACAATAATATTATTAGTTAAAGAGGCTGTTGATTAATTAATTGTAATCGGGTTGTTGATAAAAAAAAAATTGTTGCATATTCAAAATGTCAAACCTTTTTACATTGCAGTATAATACCACGCAACACCACTTCTATTTAAATTAATTAAAAACTAAATCATGTATTTTGTTTAATTTATTTTTTCATGAATAATATTTTTTATAAAACCATTATTTTTATGTTTAAAAAATAAAATTATTTAAAACTACCCTGTTTTAGTATGTTATATTAGAAAAAGATTTCTCTGTGAGTAAAGAGCCAATTTAAATGCCCTATGGTGTTACAGCTACTTACATATTAATTTTTCAGGTATATTTCCAAAAGTTACACAATAGTTTCTACCTTTACAATTGACAAACTGGAATTTTAATTAAAAAAAGTTATAATTATTGGAAAAGTCATTTCTTGTTCACAGTTCTATAAATATTAAAACTTAATAACTACGTAAGTAGATGTCATAATATTATTAGTTCTTCATAAATGTTACTCAAGATTACCTTCTCATAAACAATTAAATTGTGCATAACAGTGGTAAGTGGTATTATTTGAAAAATATAAACTTTTTTCTTTTATATGTACACTTATTATACATGTACAATATTTGTTTATATGTATATTAGGGATGCAAACGAACGTTTGACAAAACAGAACGCTTGCCTAAAAACATCTTTAAACAGTACTTTTAGACAACTTTTTTTCAAGACTGTTTTACACTACTAAAAGATTAAAAAATTAATAATGAAACATAAAAAATGAAATTTTTTACGTCACAATGACATAATGAAAAGCAAAGATACTATGAGGCATTTTAAATACTCTCAAGGGTATTTTTGGCAGGGTGATAATTTTGGCACCTCTTTAAAAGACATCTTAAATATTTATTTATTTGGGTGTTCAAATCATATTGAAGCAAGGTAAACAATATTGTGAATAAATAAAGTTTAAACTTCTTTTTTTGTAATATAGGTACGCTGATTTTTCAAAATGATAAATGATTTTTTCTTATGAATTTTTAGCAAAACATTTTATTCATTTTACTCAGATGCGATAACTTTTTATTCAGCATAGATATAAGCATAATTTCAACAAACTTTTATTAGTTAACTATTCAAGAAGTATTGCAAAAAAAAGATTTTACAAAATAACAAATAGAATATTAAATACAGCATTTAAAAATAAACAATGCCTGTTTTTGCGCCAAAAAAATTTTCATCCACCTTTGTTATTAAATCAGTATTAAAGTATTATTTTTAAAATAAAAATTATTAGGTTTTTATATTATTTTTTCTTTATATGAATTTTTTATTTTTGTAAGATTAATTATTTAAAATGAGAGCTGCAGAGGGAATTAGATTGCTTATTGTTAGACTATGGGAGGAAAAACCACAGCGAAATATAGTAGAAATAGTAAAGAAATCACATACAACTAGGCACTCCATTATCTAGAAATACCAAACCACCAAAAAAACTCCTGATAAGCCACGTGCAGGACGCCCAAATAAAACTCAAGTAATACATTGACGAGCTTATTTGAGAACAGTCATACAGAATCCTAAAATAAGTGCTCCAAAACTCGCTGGAACGCTGCAAAACGATTACAATTTAAAAGTGGATTCTGTGTGTGAATGACCTTAAGAAAAGTGGTAGAGTACCATTGAATCAGCAAAGTTAACAAAGACCAAACGACTACACTTAGCAAAACTTTATATTGATAAGCCACAGACATTTTGGGAATCGGCCCTTTTCAGTGATGAGTCAAAATTTAATGTTTTTCATCAGATGGAAGAGTTAAAATTTGGAGAAAACCCAATAAAGCATTTAAAAAACAAAACTTATGTCCCACGGTGAAGTATGGTGGAGGATGTATAAGCGCTTCAGGTGAGAAACTTGTTTTTCATTGATGGAAATGATGATTTCATTGATGGATCAAAATGTGTATTTAAACATTCTGAAAAATAATCTGGAAGAAAGTGCCTACAAATTGGGACTTACTAGGTTATTTATTTTTCAGCAGATAAAAATCCAAAATAAACAGCTTAATGTGTCAAGGAATGGCTTATATTTAAAACAGCTAAGCAACTTCATACACCACCACAATCTCCAGATTTGAATTCTATCAAACATCTGTGGAATGAATTAAGTATAAGAATTAGGCTGACAACAACTACAATTAGTCATTATGGAAGACTAGGGCTCAATCACTCCAGAAATTACAAAAAAATTAGTTTGCATTATTACAAACAGACTGCATGAGGCAATAAAAGCTCCTTGTGGAAACATAAGTTATTAAAACGCTAACAAATTGAGTTTGCATAACAATTTTATTTAATTTTTGTAAAGTGTATGAAAACTTTTTTGAAACAAAAATGTTTTCATCCACTTTAAAAACTTTTATTCCAAAATGCTGTATTTTATTTGTTACTCATTACTTTAAAAAACCCTTTTGTAAAATATTTTTTAAATATTTAAAAGATATAATTCAGTTTATACCATGCTTATATCTTTGCTGAATAAAAAGTTATTGCATTTTTAAATTGCTTAAAGAGATCCCTAACTGCCAAGACAAGTTGTGTTCATATTAAAGAAAGTGTTTAAAAAAAACATTAGGGCTTGATTTTTTTCATCAAAACTATATAATGAATGCACACCATTAAATTTAAAATTCACGTTTTAGTCGAAGCTCGCCGTCTCCATTTTTTTTTGGTTCTCGGAGTCTGTATAATGTTACCCGCAATCTGCAGACTTGATAATTTATTGCATGCATGTTTAATTCATAACAGTTCTGGTATATGACATAATCGTATAAATTTCTTTCAAGATGTCGTATTACTTTTTTTTTGCCACAATCACCAAATCATGTTAATTGTATAACTTTTTACAAAATCCCCAAAAAAAGTTTATGATAAAAAAATTAAATTTATAAAATTTATAAAAATAAAAACTTAATACATAACGAATATTTACAGTAAACGTACTCCATTTTATATTGTTAAAAATATAAAATTGTTCAAAATTTCTGGTATTTATGCAAAAAAATTTCTGTTTTAGTATGCTATTTTAGAAAAAGATTTCTCTTTTTCTAAAATAAAATACTAAAACAGAAGAAATATTGTAAAAGTAATAATTTGTAATAGCAAATTTAGAAAAATTATAAATCATAAAAATTAAAAAATCACCCACTGTATTAAAGAATGTCTCTATGTTATAAAAAAAAAAAACAATAATCAACAACAAAATTAAATTTGAAAAAAAAATTAATTTGATAATTATCAAATGAATAGTAATAAAAATAAGAATAATTAGAACATTATTATAATATTGCTAAAAAATACAAATAATTTTGTAGATTTAAGTCACATAAAAGCATAATTTTCATTGTTATTCTTTGACAAATTTTAAGTCTGCGTTATTTGATTACTTAATCACGAAAAAAAAGTTAAATTAACTTTTGCTCCGAAATTTTGAAAGAGAAATAGAATTTGATTGTCAGACGAACTTAATTAAAGACAGTATTTTAAATCCGCTAAATAATTAGGAGGTTGCTCAAAATTTATATGGTCATAGTTTTTGAACACTAAGAGATAATTGTATGACGTTAGAGACTTGTTAATGAACTTAAATTTAGTTTAAAATGATAAAAAAAATCTATATATAAATGTTATAAACTTATTATTGCCATTACAATTTTTAAAGTTTTCTCCTGAGGTTTCCCTGAGTAAAAAACATTTTTCCCTGAGTTGAACTCTTTAAGTTCCCTGACTTTTCTATATTCTTTCTTGTTCATTCACAAGATTATTATTTTCCTTAATTAAAAACAAACTAAAACTTCTACAAAAACACCCACATCTTGCAAACTTATTATATGAGCAAAACATTTTTGAAAAAAAAAATTATTGAACAAAATTTCAAAAAAAAAAAAAATTATTTTCCCTGAGTTTTCCCTGAACTTTACGAAAATTTAAAAAAAAACCCTGAGTTTTCCAGGTTTTCCCTGAGATTTATGCTATTTCCAGGTATTCCAGGTTGAGTGGCAACCTTGTTATTGCTCACACACTGATGGCATAAAAGGGAAGTTAACAATTTAGGGGTTTACTGTTAACAGACTCTGATTATCGCAATACTTTTGAAAAGCTTGACATAAAAATGAATATATAAATGTTCGGAGTTTGCTCCATGTACATAAAGTTAAATTCTCAAACAAAAACAAAAAGCTTGCTACAGGCCTGATTTTAAATATGTGATTGGAATCTGTTTGATCAAATGTTGTGATTTGCACTTTTGTTAATTTTTTTTTTTTACTTTTTATTTTTGAAAATTTATATGGTCATAGTCTATTCCAGAGAACAATTAATAAATAATCTTGATGTTATTTACATCAGTTATTTAATAGTATTTTTTAAAAGACTGTCTGGTTTATTGTTCTTGCTTTGGAAATGGCTCTTAATTTTGCAATTTTATTGTAAGTTTTGTATTTTGGCTTCTTTTATTCAGCGTGGTTGTTGTTAAAAACCAATCAAACAAAAACAAAAGTTCTTTCTGGAAATGACTAAGTGGAATAATTGTTATCTGGAATAGACTAATTGAAATTAGTTCATTCCAGAAAACAGATTTATGAATAGGTATTAATAAATAAAAATTTTAATTTTCATTTCTGTTAGTGGTTGTTACGACCAGGGCTGACAAGGGCTGTACTGAATGGGAGGTGTAGGGGTTCTCATATCCCACCCCCAAAGCTGTTATATATTCATTTGAGTTTGCACATTTAGCATTTCAGTAGGCAAGCTTTGAAGTAATAGTCGGCAAATATTAAATATCAAGGACCCTTTTTTTTTTTTTTTTTTTTTTGTGGTCACTAGTTGGCAAAAAATACATACAACACTCCCCCACACCCCCTAAATGTGAGACCTCTTTGGGACGGTTCTGATAATGACCATGCTAAATAAGAGAAGCGAAAAGCAGCAGCATAGCTACAAATACGTCCATAGCACAATATATTTTTATTGAGTATTTATCAAGCTAGTATTTGAAAAATTTATTTCTAAACATGTAAGTATAAAATTACAAACCTAATTGGTTAACTGTTTCTTCAGATTTTTTCTTTAGATTTTTATAATATTCTGTCAGGTTTCCATATCTAAGTAGTGCATAGGTAAGATCTAAATTAAATGGTAAATGATGAAAATATAACTATTTAAACTTTAACTACTTTATTTATAATAATTATATCTACAACTATGTATTCATATTGATGTATTTAAACTATATATATACGTCTATACATACATACATATATATATATATATATATATATATATATATATGTATATATATACATAAATAAATATATATTTATACATATATGAATATATATATATATATATATATATATATATATATATATATATATATATATATATATAATATATATACACACACACACATATATATACACATATATACATACATATATACATATATATACATACATATATACATATATACATATACACACATAAATACATACATACATACATATACAGGCCTTGTTTTAAATAGAAAATTTTTAATGCATTAGCTAGACGCGATATTTGACGCCATAAAATTATCTCTTTTTTAAATATAAATGTTAAGTGTTTTAACTACCGCAATAAATAACTAACCGCAAACTAGTTCAATTTAACAATTAACTCAAATATAGAAAACAATGTATAAACATTATAAATGTAAATATATTATGAAAAGTTTGAAATGCTTTTAATTGTTATTCTAATATTAATTTTAGTTCAATATAATTTAGTAAAAATATTTGTTTATAATAAACATTCGTTAAAACTTGTTCATTTAAAATTAAGTTCCCTAACTTATAAACAAACTCGAAAGTACTTTCATTCTATGTATAATTACACATATAAAGTAATAAAATAAAAAAAAGGAGAATATGAGGTAAACTTTGTTAAGAAAAAATTTATTTATTGAACAATATTAATTTTTAGTTATATACCAACTGAAATAAAATATACTAACATGTTAAAATATTTTAACATGACTTGTGCCATTTAAAAACCTGCCTTACAGCAGCTGCCCTTACGGCACCAATGGTTTTGGATAAAATTTTATTTTGATGAAGTTCACACAAATTACATATGAGTTTAATAACATTAGTCTTCTCTTTTTCTGTGATAGTTCAATTCGAAAAGCATCCGCAAAGTCCCAGGATTTAAAAGTTTTTAATGTAACTCTTTTCCTTCAAAATACAATCCATATTTGAACTTTAAACAATTTGGAGAGAATAGAAATATGCTAGGTTTTTATATAATTTGTCTTATTTTATATAGAAAAACACATAGCCATTAGTAAAGAATAAAGACTGTTATTAAACTAAAATGTGCCTTTGTATTAATTTAACGGAGTCTGTAAAGTGTGTGTGCATAATGAAAAATTTAACAATTTGTCCTCAATCAAAAAGTGCAAGTAACAGATAATTTTTCTTTCTTCTGTGCCAGCCCCCTCCCCCTATATCTTAAAGTTAAAGGTATCCATATACCTTTAAATAATAATAAAAGAAAAGAGTAATAACTAATGTAGAAGAAATTTTTAGTACAATAAAAATAAATTGTTCATATATTGGCACATTTTTTTTAATATCTTGAAAAAATGTCCTAATATTAAAATAATTTAAAATTGTTGAGGACAAACCAAACTGAACAACTGTCCTTACCCTAACTAAACCAAAAAGAGTTTTATAGCAGTGAAATTTTGCAATTAATATTACTATACATAACATAATAAATAATATAAGTCTACAATACATAACATAAAACATATATATCAGGGCCTATTCTAGAAAAAAAATTTGGATGGCAGTACCCCCTTTGTTTCGGCAAACTTTAGCGGAAAATCAGTTTTTTTTTTCGGGAAAAAAACAATATTTGCTGTAAAAACGTTAAAAAAAAAAAAGTAAGAAATTGTTAAAAAAAAAAACCTCAAATTTTAATTTTTATATATATATATATATATATATATATATATATATATATATATATATATATATATATATATATATATATATATATATATATATTATATATAGGCTTGGACAGGAATGGTGTGCGATCGAGCGCTATTGCTGACCATGCAAATGATTTTATTTTTTGACAACTTGACCACGGTTGTTTTATAAACAATGTTTATATGTTTTGATAAGTTAAAAATTTCAGAAATGTTCTGAATTTAGAAACGCTAAGCTAAACTTCAACTAGAAATAAAATAAAATAAAAAAACTAAAGAAAAAAAAAATAATAATAATGAAAAAAATATTCCTAACGAAAAAAGAAACGAAAAACAAAATCATAACGAAAAAGTAATTATATAAGCACTAAAATGAAAATAAAAACTTAAACTCGAAGCGAAACCTTTTGTTACCTTTTTGTTAAAAAAATAACGAAAGGCTTTTTAAAATAGTAATTTTTACTAATTTCATGCTCTAATTAGTGAGTCTAATTAAAAAAAAAGGTTTTGAACTTTTTTATTCATAAAAATAGAAAAAAATAAATAAATAAAATGCGCCTGCCACTTAATAAAATAAAATAAACAAGCTTTTTAATTTAATTTTAATTTGAGCATTACAACTTTATTAATAAGCGCTTCGCGTAACGAATTTAAAAATTATTATAAAAGATTTCTCATTCATTTTTAACGAAATTGAAAAAAAAAAAAAAAAAAAAAAAAAAAAAATTTTTAAAAAAAATAAAATGTTTATCTAAAACATTTTAAAAAATCATAAATTTAATCATAAAGATTATTCGTATGAGTATTACAAAATGCTTTAAAACTTTTTCATTAAATCAAAAAAATACATGCTTATATTAGTAAATAAAGTTATTTTATACTCTTGTGTAATTCACATAAAATGTGTAAAAGTTAGTCGTCACAAAAGCTTTTGAAATTATTCACAAATTAAAGTAACTTAAAAAAATTCTTTCTAAAAATAATAGTTTAAAAATATTTTAGGAAGACATAAGAAAATAGTTTCAAACATTTAAATTTATCATAAAAAATAAATGCCTACATAAAAAAAACTTATTTATAATGTTTTTTATTAATTTACACAATTGTTTATGTAAACAATAACTATAATTAATTATATGGTTTTATTTAAAGCCAACGGTTAAAAGATATTTATAACGTGACACTTTTTTTATTGCATTCAAATTGTTAAAACATCAGAAAAGCCGTGGTCAAGTTGTAAAGAAATTACTTTTTATTAAGTGCGTTTTTATAAAGTTGTTTAAGTGATTTGTAAAAAATTCCTCAAGCTTTTAATATTTGAATATTTGCTTTATTTTTTCTAGATGCTTTTCTACTTTAGTATTTAGTATTAGTATAATTAGTAATTCCAAACTATTGTTTGGAATTACTAATTATACTAATTAGTAATTCCAAAACAAAATTTTAATAATTTGCTCTTGAAAATAAAGTACACAGTTTTGCATAAACTAAAATTTTGAAGATCAGATATTTTTCCAGGGTTTGCAAATTGTGATAGCTTGATTCACTCCTTGATACTTGTTACATTAAAATTATACAAGCATATTTACAAACAGATGACAATTTATGTTTTCACTTTCCCCGTTAAAAAAAAAAAACAAAATATAGAAAATCATTCTTTTTAATGTTTAAAACTTTTTTTCTTTTTGCTTTAACTTAGCGAATTTTGTTGCCGAAAATAATAACCACTATGAAGAAAAAAATTATTTAAATTATTGTTATTATCATTTTCTATTCAGGTTTATTTTAAATTCATATTTTGTTATTTTGTTTTTAAAACTTTTGTCAGTAACGCATATAAAAAAACTTGCAAACAGCGGTGACCAAGTTGTCTAAAATAAAATACTCACGCTTGGTGATACATGATAAAAAACCGCACGCCTTTCCTGGGAAGGCTTGAACTCATAATATATATACATTTTCATCATATATATATATATATATATATATATATATATATATATATATATATATATATATGTATATATATGTATATATATGTATATATATTATATATATATATATATATATATATATATATATATATATATATATATATATATATATATATATATATATATATATATATATATATATATATATATATATATATATATATATATATATATATATATATATATATATATGATCAAAAAACAATAATCTAACTTGAGCTTCTACTGCCAGTTTCTACTCAAGTTAGATAGTGTGTATGTGTGTGTGTGTGTGTGTTTGTGTGTGTGCGTACACATAACAATCAAGCATAATAAACACTAATTTACTTTTAGTGGTCTCTTGAAGAGCTTTTTCAATATGCTTATAATTTATATTAGTACAACAACATTTCTCACACCCAACGTAGACGTTACCGACTTCTTTTAGTTCATCAGACGGACACTCACAGGATAAAGTGCAATGTAAATCACCAGATAGAGTTGAAAATTTGTCGTTATTTTTGCATGTTATGGAACTTTCTGGATTAAGAGAAACTGACAATTCCACAAAATAAACTGATAACAATATTACAAAAATCATCTTCGTTGTTTGTAAAGGAGTAAAATGATAAAACATTCTATGTAGGAGATGAAATGCGTGCTCCGCGCGAGCGCAATTTGTTATGCAGGGAAATTATTTGGTGTTTTTTTTTTAATTGATGGTCAGATGGATTTAATTGATGACATCATGGTCATAACAAGAGCGCAGGCCGTATTCCATCGTCATCAAAAAAATATCTGAAAACGCAGAAACGTGTTTAACAGTTTTGATCGTTCAAGTAGAAAATTAGGTGTGCCGCTAGAATAAGGGACAAAAAAAACTTTAAAGGGCAATGATATATTATATAAACTAGGGAGCGCATTTAATAAAACTTACGTAAATTCAACAAGCTGAAATGGTCTAAAACTTTTTGTCCGAATGCATCAAGTTTTTTGAAACCAAACTGAATCCACCAAACTTTTTAATAAATTGCTCAGCTTAATTTGAGCAAGAAAAGTTATGTTAGCTATAAGCTGCCTTAACTTTGGCATAACGTTAAAATCAATAAGTATTAAAAATGGTGTAATATTATTATGATTCATATATATATATATATATATATATATATATATATATATATATATATATATATATATATATATATATATATATATATATATATATATATATATATATATATATATATATATATATATATATATATATATATATATATATATATATATATATATATATATATATATATATATATATATATATATATATGTATATATATATATATATATATATATATATATATATATATATATAATATATATATATATATATATATATATATATATATATATATATATATATATATATATAGTGCATCGTTCTCAATAATGCGCGAAGATTATGAGTAAAATCTCCAATGATAAATGTATCAAAAATGCGGAAAAAGTTGAGATAATTAGTTTTCTTTGACTTGTCTGAATTTCCAAAATGATTTTTAAAATACTTTAGCCAGCCGATAATGGCAGAATTGTTGCTAGCAACTGTGATTGCTAGCTTCCAGTGAGCGGAACAAAAATGCTAGCAAATGCAAATTTTTTCATTAAAAAAAATCGCGTTTAAAGATGTAAATATGAATATATAACAATATTGTAGGCTATATCCCGGGGCCCCCCAAAACTACGGGGCCCCAAGATATATATAGCTATACAATGCAAAACAACGCCTAGTGCGAGACTAAAATTTGGCGCCCCCCCCTCCCACAAAAAAAAAAAGTCAAACTAATTTTCATTTTTATAAAACAGATGTTTCAATGTTTTTCAAATGTCATTTTAAGTTTAATCTTCTGACCTTTAGTGATGCAAAATCATTTATAACATCATCATAATTAATTGAGTTTGTCAGTGTAGATTATTGACAAATTTGATAATTTGTCTTGGCTCATTGAAAACCTTAGTTTTTATTATCTTCGACTTATTAAAACTTCTGTCAAAATATGCAATTGTCACTGGTAGTGTCAAGAAAATCCTCAGACAGATTTCAATGTTTGGGTAAACAGCTTTCAAAGAATCTTCAATATAATTGCTAGAAGTCAATGTTCAATGTTCAATGCCGTTAGTTACTATTGTTCGATATTAGTAACGGTTCTGTATTCTGTAAAATACTCTAATACAAACAGTTTTGAAACTTGAAATTACACGAGGCAAGTTTTTATATTTAATAAGGAGCTTAATATTAGGCTGTATTTATTTTTTAAACGTTTGTATCAAATTTGTTGTGTGTTGATGCCCTAACGATTTTGTTATTTTTATTTACTATTTGTTTTATTTATTGACTTTGGTTTCACGCAAACTTTTATGGCTTTTCAATAAATATTTTATTTAATGTAACTAACTAAATGAGTTTTGTTCATAAATATTGTATGTTTGTTTATTTTATTTTATGATATTGTAGTTTGTTTATTTGCAGCAAACATTTGCTTACATTTTTATTTATGTTTATTTTGTTTAGTTATTTAGATGCTAAAAATACTAGCAGTAAGCATTTCCTACCATTTCTATTTATAATTTGTTTATTTATTTAGACTTAAATTAAAAGAAAATTTTCCAGAGTTGTGATAAATCATAATTCAGTTGTTGAACAGATGAAATTGTAGAGGTTTCTATCATATATATATATATATATATATATATATATATATATATATATATATATATATATATATATATATATATATATATATATATATATATATATATATATATATATATATATATATATATATATATATATATATATATATATATATATATATATATATATATATATATATATATATATATATATATATATATATAAAATTTGAAACTGCGTTTGATTTTGTTTACTTAAAGAATCATATTAAGATAAATAATCATCGTTAAGATCATATTATAATTGAAGTAAGTGTAGAAATTAGTTTAGCAATTTATATATAACATTTTTATTAGAAATTAAGTAGAAAGGATCACTCCTTTTATTTTTGTAAATCATTTACATTTTGTTTGTTTTAGATTTTCTTTTGTCTTTATTTTTTTCTAGCAGTTTTGTTTTTATTGAGCATATCTTCTATTTTTTAGAAGGAAGATAGAGGTATGGATGAGGTCTATTTATTTTTTATGCAACAAAAAAGTTATACTAATGCTATTTCAATAAAGTTGTTTATTACTACCGTGAAATTTCTGTGATGCTATTAACTGTTTTTGCTCTTTTTTAGAAAATTTAGAAAAATAAATTAAAATTTCGTGCTAACACTGACATGTTATTGTATGTAAAGATTAAATTTTTATTATGAGAATTACAGTTCTTATGAAAAAAGGTAATGAGTATTGTTTGTGTATAAATATTTTGTTTACTTTGAATCTTTTAAAACTTTCTCAAACCATTTTTAAAATTTTTGTTTGCACAATTCAAGTTATATATTTATTTTTTGCATTGTTTTTATGATAATTATCTGTATATTGTAAAATGTGCTTTATAGCTTTTTTATCAATGTGTTTTTATAATAATGTAACATATTTTTTTATTGTTTGTGTATGTGGTAATATTAGTTATATAATTTTATAAATGTGTTTAAATATATTTAAATATGTATCTATGTAAATATATATATATATATATATATATATATATATATATATATATATATATATATATATATATATATATATATATATATATATATATATGTATATATATATATATAGATAGATAGATATATATATATATATATATATATATATATATATATATATATATATATATATATATATATATTGTGTTTATAGTTGGTTTATATTATGTTATTTCCATGTTTTCAAAGTGCTGTGAATTGGTAAACGTGTAAAGCGAGATTTGTCAACCTTGCCAGCCAAGTTACTTGATGCAAAGGGTTACAAAGCAGTGTTTCGTGTCAAACTGTTACTGCTTTAGGTCTAGGTGTTTTCAAGCCTTTTTTAATAATTAATCTGAAAATACATAATGTATTTTAATAACATTTTGCATAATGTTGTTACTGATGTTCTGTTATATATGAATGTTATATTTCTTAAGTTATGTTATATGCATATTATATGAACTTATGGTGAATGCTATTGTTGTTGTGATGTTGTTTTTTTGTAATCTTTTGAGTTGATATACATTTGGTTTACCTTCAAGTTGTTGTCTACTGTTAAAAATGATACATAGTTAATTTCATTATTAGACCTCACTGCATTTAACCATTCACTAAATTTAATATTTAGATTCACTAAAAGCCTACTACTACTACTCTGGTAAATCACATCAGCTTTATCAGGTACAATGATTTCTTTTTTTTGTATGTATTTTTTTTTTATTTACTTATTTGTTACATTTTTTATTTATCAAATGATGTATTTATGTGGTATAGAAGAACAAAATATTGTTAAGTTTTGTGAATTTTTAAAAAATTTTTACTAATATTTTTTTCAAATAAATAATATTGAAGTTTGCTTAAAAGGGTTTTACTACGTTTTTTTTTAATTTTTCTATATTATGAGTTTTTATTTTATTATTTTTAATGCAAATATCTATTTTTTTATTATATTATTATTTTTTCTTTAGATCTAAATTGGAGCAGCTACAGACTATATTGCTCCCAGCACCCAGGACCACTTTCTGACAGGTCCTTTAACAAATGTTGCAGTAATGATGGTATGGATAAGCCCTCTTTCAAATGGAGGGCTCATCTATACAGGGGTGCTGGGAGGCACCAAGTAAAAAATAGCAACAAAAAAATTTTTAATATCTTCAATCAGTGAAGATATTAACAATTTTTTTGTTGCTGTTTTTTCCTTGGTTTTTATTTTCATTAAAAAAAATATATTTATTCTAAATTATGTTTGTTTTTATTTTTTTAGTATTTGTTTAGATTATTATTTATAGTTATTATTACTTTAATTTTTGATTCACAATATTACATGGCTATTATATTGCTTCGAATATATACCATATCAGTTAATCAGTTTTGAAAAAATGTACTGCAGCAATTTATTAACTATAACAAAAATCACATTTAAATTTGTAATATTTTTAAGTTATAATTTTAAACTAATTTGTTGATTTCCAGCAGATTTTATTTCTTTTGATTGTTTTGAATTTAATAATTTAGTGTTTATTTAGCCTTTAACTTATGTAAAGCTTTAATAAAGTTAATCTTCTGATTTTAATGTGTAATAAATAATATAAAATATTGGAAAAAAGATTAAGTAATAAAAAAAACAGATAATTAATCTTTGATAAACTTTGTCATGTTGCTTATTATATTATTGGCATTTCAGTGATGCTGTTAAATTTTTTTCTTTTCTTTAGAATTTAGAAAAATGAATTAAACTACAACTTTTGAACAGTCATTGTTTGTGAAGGTTAAATTATTTGCATGTTTTTTATACAATTTTTTTATAGAAATAATATTAAAGTTTACTATAAGGGGTTTACAAATACTTTACTTTTTATTTTTTGTCTTTTTTTTGTATTAACAAAACCCATAATCATTAAAATTTTTATTATTATTATTATTTTTTTATTACTATTGGTTAATTTTTTTATTTACATTATATTTATAAGTTTATTTTTTGTTT